AAGCTTGGTCCTGGTCCATCGTCGGTGGAGGTCACATTTTCTCTGGTTGGTTGAACTACAACTCCCAGAAAGGTTATGAGTGAACTACAGCTCCCACTTTAGTGAGTCACTCCCCTCAAACCCCTCCAGTAGGTTGAGTAAGTCATTGGGGTTCTTTGTGCCAAGTTTGGTCCAGGTCCATCATCAGTGGAGGTCACAGTTTCTCTGGTTGGGTGAACTGCAACTCCCACTTTGGTGAGTCACTCCCCTCAAACCCCTCCAGTAGGTTGAGTTAGTCCTGGGGGTTCTTTGTGCCAAGTTTGGTCCTGGTCCATCATCGGTGGAGGTCACAGTTTCTCTGGTTGGGTGCACTACAACTCCCAGAAAGGAAGGTTAGTTTCCCCCAAACCTGTCCAGTCATCAAACTTCGGCATATTCAGGTCTGTGTGCCAAGTGTGGTCCATCGGTGTGTGGGTTCACAGTGCTCTCTGGGTGTAGGAGAACTACAACTCCCCCAAATCAAGGTGAATTTTCCCCAAAGACCTCTACTGGAGAGAGTCAGAAACACTGGGATGTCTGTGGTGGAGGAAACACATGAAATCTAAGATGAAATGGTCCCTGTTGTTGTGACTCAGCAGCTTGACTCTGAGTCTGAAGCTGAGCCCTGTGGGTCTTGTGAGCCACAGGGCTCACAAGAGTTCCCTGATGAGGAGAAGGATGGGTTACAGATTTCTGTTCATGTCTCAGACTGCAGAAGGGGAAACAGCAAGTCAGTTCTCAGGGGAAAAGAATGTCAGTGAGACTGATAACGAGAGTGAATTCCCACACGGACAGGTGGAGATGTCTTTGCCTCCTTTGCCTTCCCATGGTGATTCAGCTGGTAAACCAAGATAAGGGGTTAGAGAGCCTTGAAGATAATGAATTAATGAGCAGGCAAGATCTCCTGCCATTAAGGGTCTGGAGAAGTTCTCGCTTAGCTAGTAAGCGAGAGGCCAAGTCGGCCAAGGGTCATTGCAATGCGTTCATGTCTGCAAAGGGTATTTATATTTAGCCTTCTGGTTGACAAACAGGCGTTGTCAGTTCAATGTGGCTCTTTCCATGCAAACTTCTATGGATTAACCTTGGCTTTAAGCAGCACACTTCTGGCTTCCTGATTCTGGGATTTTGGGTCTTGTGTTCAACCGTTTTACCATGGACTCTTGTTTGACCATTGCTGAAAGGATTATTTATTGTGGGTCATCCGTGGGCTGACGCGTGGGTCTTCCTTCCTCCCGCTTTCCCCTCCAGACGCAGCCGAAGAAGACTTCCAGGGCCTTTTGCAGGCGCTCCTCTCTTGCGCCCGGATCCACGTGCCCTCGCTGAGCCCGCTCCCCGAATTCCACATCAGCCTCTCGCAGGTGGTGGTCCTGCGCTACCACTGGATCGCCCCTTTCGTCCAGTCTCTTAAGGAGCGCCTGCGGTCAGCCTCCAGGTCAGGCCACGCATTTGGAGCACCTGACATAACAGTTTTAGTGATTTGAAGCTGTTTGGTTGTCATGTGCAATCCTGTTTTCATGTTTGTACATTCACATTATTATTATTATTATTATTATTATTATTATTATTATTATATTCATTTATTGATACCCTGCTTTATCTCTCCTTCAGGAGACTCAAAGCAGCTCAACGTAAAAATATCAACATACAATATTATTATTGTATTTATTTATACTCCACTTTATGTCTCCAGAAGGAGACTCAAAGCAGCTATGCATCTATTATTATTATTATTATTATTATTATTATTATTATTATATTTATTTATACTCTACTTTATCCCTCCCGAAGAAGACTCTAAGCAGCTATGCATCTATTATTGTTGTTGTTGTTGTTGTTATATTTATTTATATGCCACTTTATCTCTCCCAAAGGAGACGCAAAGCAGCTATGCATCTATTATTATTACTAATTATTTTACTAATTATTATTACTTTATTAATACCCTGCTTTATCTCTCCTGCAGGAGACTCAAAGCAGCTTAACATAAAATTATCAACATACAATATTATTATTATTATTGTTATTATTGTATTTATTTATGCTCCACTTTATTTCTCCCAAAGGAGACTCAAAGCGGCTATGCATCTATTATTATTATTACTAATTACTTTACTAATTATTATTATTATATTTATTTAGCTATGCATCTATTATTGTTGTTGTTGTTGTTGTTGTTATATTTATTTATACTCCACTTTATCTCTCCTGAAGGAGACTCAAAGCAGCTATGCATCTATTATTATCATTATTATTATTATATTTAGCTATGTTCCTATTGTTGTTGTTGTTGTTATATTTATTTATACTCCACTTTATCTCTCCCGAAGGAGACTCAAAGCAGCTATGCATCTATTATTATTATTATTATTATTATTATTATTATTATTATTATATTTAGCCATGCTCCTATTGTTGTTGTTGTTGTTGTTATATTTATTTATACTCCACTTTATCTCTCCCGAAGGAGACTCAAAGCAGCTATGCATCTATTATTATTATTATTATTATTATTATTATTATTATTATATTTAGCTATGCTCCTATTGTTGTTGTTGTTGTTGTTGTTATATTTATTTATACTCCACTTTATCTCTCCCGAAGGAGACTCAAAGCAGCTATGCATCTATTATTATTATTATTATTATTATTATTATTATTATATTTAGCTATGCTCCTATTGTTGTTGTTGTTGTTGTTGTTATATTTATTTATACTCCACTTTATCTCTCCCGAAGGAGACTCAAAGCAGCTATGCATCTATTATTATTATTATTATTATTATTATTATTATTATTATATTTAGCTATGCTCCTATTGTTGTTGTTGTTGTTGTTGTTATATTTATTTATACTCCACTTTATCTCTCCTGAAGGAGACTCAAAGCAGCTATGCATCTATTATTATTACTATTATAGTAATTATTATTATTTTATTTGTACTCCACTTTATCTCTCCCGAAGGGGACTCAAAGCAGCTATGCATCTATTATTATTATTATTATTATTATTATTATTATTATTATATTAGTATTATTATTTGTACTCCACTTTATCTCTTCCGAAGGAGACTCAAAGCATCTATTATTATTATTATATTAGTATTAGTATTATTATTTGTACTCCACTTTATCTCTCCCGAAGGAGACTCAAAGCAGCTATGTATTATTATTATTATTATTATTATTATTATTATTATTATTATTTAGCTATGCATCTATTATTATTATTATTATTATTATTATTATTATTTTATTAATACCCTGCTTTATCTCTCCTGCAGGAGACTCAATGCGGCTTAACATAAAAGCATCAACATACCATTTAAATTATTATTATTGTTGTTGTTATTATTAGCTAATTGAGGCTGGTAATACCGTCACAAACTACTATGGAATAAATATTGATTTGCCTCTTTCCAGACACAAAATAGTTCTTCATCCCAATGGGAAGGGGAAGCTTCTCTGGCCAACGTCTTGCAGGGAGATTGCTGTTACTGATGTTGTTGTGGTTGTTTCCTTCTTCCATTGCAGGTTCATTTGCAGAGCGGACCAAGTGAAGGTTTACACCAACCAGACCAAAACCAGGTACAGGAGGGACTAATGCAAGTATTGTGGTTGTACACAACATGGCTGCATTGGCGTAAGCAGGATGTCTGTGGAAGTGGGTGGGAAAAAGAACACCACAAGGCCAAGGGTTGGGATGAGGCCACAACGGCCATCTAGTCCAACTCCATTATGCTGTGCAGAGAGGCACAAGTCGAGCACTCCTGGAAGAAGCACCTCCAAGCTGTGCTTGTCGACCTTCAAAGAGGGAGAGCTCACCCCTTTCCAAGGCAGACCATTATTATTATTATTATTATTATTATTATTATTATTATTATTATTATTATTATTAAAAGCACCTATGTATCTGTTATTATTATTATTACTACTACTACTACTAGTAGTATATTTATATTTATTTATACCCTGCTTTATCTCTCCCAAGGGAAACTCTAATCATCTGTGTATCTATTATTATTATTATTATTATTATTATTATTATTATACCCTGCTTTATCTCTCTCAAGGGTGACTCAAACACCTATGTATCTATTATTATTATTATTATTATTATATTTATTTATACCCTGCTTTATCTCTCCCAAGGGAGATCCAAAGTGTCTGTGTATCTATTATTATTATTATTATTATTATTATTATACCCTGCTTTATCTCTCCCAAGGGTGACTCAAACACCTATGTATCTATTATTATTATTATTATTATTATATTTATTTATACCCTGCTTTATCTCTCCCAAGGGAGATCCAAAGTGTCTGTGTATCTATTATTATTATTATTATTATTATTATTATTATTATTATACCCTGCTTTATCTCTCCCAAGGGTGACTCAAACACCTATGTATCTATTATTATTATTATTATTATTATTATTATTATTATTATTATATTTATTTATACCCTGCTTTATCTCTCCCAAGGGAGATCCAAAGTGTCTGTGTATCTATTATTATTATTATTATTATTATTATTATTATTATTATAATATTTATACTCTGCTTTATCTCTCCCAAGGGAGACTCAAAGCGCCTATGTATCTATTATTTTTATTATTTTTATTATATTTATACCCTGCTTTATCTTTCCCAAAGGAGACTAAAAGCGCCTATGTATCTATTATTATTATTAGTAGTAGTAGTAGTAGTAGTATATATATATTTATACCCTGCTTTATCTCTCTGAAAGGAGACTCAAAGTGCCTATGTCTCTATTTGTTGTGAACCGCTGTGAGTCGCCTTCGGGCTGAGAACAGCGGTATATAAGTAAGGTAAATAAATAAATAATATTTTATTATTATTATTATTATTATTATTATTATATGTATGCCCCACTATCTCTCCCAAAGGAGACTCAAAGTGCCTATGTATCTGTTATTATTAATATTATTATTATTATATTTATACTCTGCTTTATTCCTCCTGAAGGAGACTCAAAGTGCCTATGTATCTATCTATTATTATTATATTTATATTTATATTTATACCCCACTTTATCTCTCCCAAGGGAGATGCTAAGCCCCTAAGTATCTATTATTATTATATTTATATTTATACCCCACTTTATCTCTCCCAAAGGAGACTCAAAGCACCTGTGTATCTATTATTATTATTATTATTATTATTATTATTATTATTATATTTATACCTCACTTTATCTCTCCCAAAGGAAACTCAAAGCACCTGTGTATCTATTATTATTATTATTATTATTATTATTATATTTATACCTCACTTTATCTCTCCCAAAGGAGACTCAAAGCACCTGTGTATCTATTTATTTATATTTATACCCCACTTTATCTCTCCCAAAGGAGACTCAAAGCACCTGTGTATCTATTATTATTATTATTATTATTATTATTATTATTATTATTATTATATTTATACCTCACTTTATCTCTCCCAAAGGAAACTCAAAGCACCTGTGTATCTATTATTATTATTATTATTATTATTATTATTATATTTATACCTCACTTTATCTCTCCCAAAGGAAACTCAAAGCACCTGTGTATCTATTATTATTATTATTATTATTGTTATATTTATACCTCACTTTATCTCTCCCAAAGGAGACTCAAAGCACCTGTGTATCTATTATTATTATTATTATTATTATTATTATTATTATTATATTTATACCTCACTTTATCTCTCCCAAAGGAGACTCAAAGCACCTGTGTATCTATTATTATTATTATTATTATTATTATTATTATTATTATTATATTTATACCTCACTTTATCTCTCCCAAAGGAAACTCAAAGCACCTATGTATCTATTCTTATTATATTTATTTACACCCCACTTTATCTCTCCTGAAGGAGACTCAAAGTGCCTATGTATCTATTATTATTTTTATGATTATTATTATTTATATTTATACCTCGCTTTATCTCCCTTTGCCCAGGACCTTCCTTGGCCTGGAAGTCTCTTCTGGGCATTCAAAGCTGTTGGAGTTGGTTTCCGAAGTGGATAAAGTCATGGAGGAGTTCAGCCTGGCCCCCTTCTACAAGGTGGGAGCTTCCACTTTGGCAAAACAAGAGGACCTTGCTTCCCAATAGTGCAGGCTATTGCGCCAGGCCTTATGCACGTGTGTGTGTCAGGATGAACGTGAGCAGATCCTCTTGCTTCCCATCTAAGATGCACTTTTCTCCTTATGTATCAGACATGGGCCAGCTCTGGCCCTCCCTTCAGGTGTTTTGGACTCCAACTCCCACAATTCCTAATGGATGGTAGGGAGCCCCGAAGTTGGCCCATGCCTGATATGTATTATGTAAACATCGCTCCAAAAGGGTCACATCTCAGCATCGCAGGGGTATCTTGTGTATTGCTATTGGAGGAGGTGGTCCTGAAATGAGGATCTGGCTTACGATCAGAGGCATCTTACAGTTGGAGAAATATGGTAGACAGAGAAGTGATAGAAGTGAAGGAAGGAAGGAAGGAAGGAAGGAAGGAAGACATGCCTTCCAACTAAGATTCTATGATAGATGATGGCTGGATGGAAAGACAGACAGACACACACACATATATAGATCGATCGATCGATCAATAGATAATCTTTGAGGTCCCACTTCTAAGATTCTATGATTGGTAGGTAAGTAGATAGATAGGATGATGGACAGATGGATGACTTGATGGATGGATGGATGAGAGGATGGGTGGATGGATGAGAGGATGGGTGGATGGATGAGAGGATGGGTGGATGGATGAGAGGATGGATGGATGGATGAGAGGATGGATGGATGAGAGGATGGATGGCTAGAGAGACTGGATGGATGGATGAGAGGATGGATGGATGAGAGGATGGATGGATGAGAGGATGGATGGATGAGAGGATGGATGGATGAGAGGATGGATGGATGGATGAGAGGATGGATGGCTAGAGAGACTGGATGGATGGATGAGAGGATGGATGGATGGATGAGAGGATGGATGGCTAGAGAGACTGGATGGATGGATGGATGAGAGGATGGATGGATGAGAGGATGGATGGCTAGAGAGACTGGATGGATGGATGGATGAGAGGATGGATGGATGAGAGGATGAGAGGATGGATGGCTAGAGAGACAGGATGGATGGATGGATGAGAGGATGGATGGATGAGACGATGGATGGATGAGAGGATGGATGGATGGATGAGAGGATGGATGGATGGATGAGAGGATGGATGGATGGATGAGAGGATGGATGGATGGATGGATGAGAGGATGGATGGATGAGAGGATGGATGGCTAGAGAGACTGGATGGATGGATGGATGGATGGATGGATGAGAGGATGGATGGCTAGAGAGACTGGGTGGATGGATGGATGGATGAGAGGATGGATGGATGGATGAGAGGATGGATGGATGGATGGATGAGAGCATGGATGGATGGTTGGATGAGAGGATGGATGGCTAGAGAGACTGGATGGATGGGAGGATGGGTGGATAGATAAACAAGAAAGATTGAATAGACTGAATTGATCTAAATTATAGAACAATAGATAAGAGGATAGATAATTAGATGGGTAGATAGATAGATGATGGATGGATAGATAGATAAATAGAGACAGACAGGATGAATGGATAGCTAGATGAGAGAATAGTTGGATTGATTGACTGATTGATTGATGGGTAGATAGATAGATGATGGATGGATGGGTGGATAGATAGATAGATGAGAGGAAAGGTAGTTGGATGGATAAATAAATAAATAATTAGATAGATGGATAGATAGATAGATAGATAGATAGGAGAAAAGGTAGATGGATGGATAGAGACAGTCAGACAGAGAGGATGGATGGATAGCTAGAGGAGAGAATAGATCGTTGGATTGATAGATGGATGGATGGATAGAGTCTGTATTTTCTTCTATTTTAAGATGCATCCCCCCCCCCCCCATATAAACATCTCTCAAAATGGGCTGCCTCTTAGAGTCGTAGGCGTATGGTCTTGTGAATGTTGGTTGTTGTCAGTGGTGGTGAAAGGAGGGCGCACCTGACCATGGATGGTGCCTTGCAGTGGAAGAAAGGCCGTGGATCTCCGTCAGTCCAGAGAATGCAGTGAAACCACAGGGGCAGGAAAGTGGAAGGGGTGGTCATCTCTCCACGCTCAAAGGAATGCAAGGCCATCTCCAAAGGTAGCAGATTATTGAAGTGATGTCTGACAAAGGCAAAGAGATTCCGGGTTGTGTGCGCATCGTAAATACTTCCTCCCTTCTGAAAACACCGTCTCTTTCCTGGATGAAGAGCGAAACCACCCAGGGGAGGAATCGTTTCCCTTGCATCCCAGAACCCTTATCTCAGAGTGAGGTGACCTTTGCTCGCCTCAGGCAGTTGGCAGCCGCAGGAGGAGCGGCCTTGTTGATATTTGGTTTTATGAGCGAGAGAAAGGCTCCCTTAATGGGTTGTGCATACCTTTGGGATGGGAGAGAGCTCACACAAGTGCTTTGCCGGCCCAGAATGGTGCTTATGCCCCACTACCTCTCCCTGCCTTACTATTGCTATTATTATTATTATTATTATTATTATTATTATTATTATTATTATTTTAGGGGTGTGAGAGACCTCACACAGGCAGTGTGGGAATGGGCCTGGAAGGGGAGTCATGTGGCCCTCCAAAAGCTATGGGACTACCTCTCCCTGCCTTGTAGTAGTAGTAGTAGTAGTAGTTGTAGTTGTTGTTGTTGTATTTTAGGGCTCACACAGGCCACTTTGGAAATGGACCTGGATGGGAGTCCCTGCGTAGAAATAAAGTTTATTATTATTATTATTATTATTATTATTATTATTATTATTATTATTATTATTATGTGGCTCTCTAGAAGCCACTGCACTGCATCTCCAAGTTGTATTATTGTTGTTGTATTATTATTATTATTATTATTATTATTATTATTATTATTATTGTATTTTAGGGCTCATGCAGGCCACTTTGGAAATGGGCCTTGATAGGAATCCCTCCCTTGTTGTTGTTATTATTATATTTAGGTGATTATTATTATTATTATTATTATTATTATTATTATTATTATTGTATTTTAGGGCTCACTCAGGCCACTTTGGAAATGGGCCTGGATAGGAGTCCCTGCCTTGTTGTTTTTTGTTGTTGTTGTTGTTGTTATTATTGTTGTTGTTATTATTATAATTAGGAGTATATTATTATTGTTGTTGTTGTTGTATTTTAGGGCTCACTTGGGCCACTTTGGAAATGGGCCTGATAAGAATCCCTCCCTTGTTGTTGTTATTATTATATTTAGGAGATTGTTGTTGTTGTTGTTGTATTTTAAGGCTCACTTGGGCCACTTTGGAAATGGGCCTGGATAGGAGTCCCTGTCTTGTTGTTGTTTTTTGTTGTTGTTGTTGTTGTTGTTGTTGTTATATTTAGGGTGTATTATTATTGTTGTTGTTGTTGTTGTTGTTGTTGTTGTTGTTTTTTAGGGCTCACACAGGCCACTTTGGAAATGGATAGGAATCCCTGCCTTGTTGTTTTTTGTTGCTAGTATTATCATATTTAGGGGTGTATTATTATTATTATTATTATTATTATTATTATTATTATATTTTGGGGCTCATTCAGGCCGCTCTGGAAATGGGCCTGGATGGGAGGCATGTGGCCCCCAAAAGCTATGGGACTCCCTCTCCCTGTATTATTATTATTGTTGTTATTGTTATTATTGTCATTTTATTATATTTTAGGGGCGAGAGATAGCTCACGCAGACCACAGTGGGAATGAGCCTGGAAGGGAGTCATGCGGCCCTCCAGAAGCTATTGGGCTACCTCCTCTTGCCTTAATATTATTATTACTATTATTATGATTATTTTACATTTTAGGAACATGGGAGATCTCTCGCAGGCCACAGTGGGAATGGTCCTGGAGGGGGGTCATGTGGCTCTCCAGAAGCTACTGGACTACCTCCTCTATTATTATTATTATTATTATTATTATTATTATTATTATTATTATATTTTAGGGATGTGAGAGAGCTCTCACCGGCCACAGTGGCCTGGAGAGGCGTTGCATTACACCTCCCTGCTTTCCTCCCATGATCCAGGCTGGCTTGAGAGTGTCAGAATATGTTAAAGTATGTAATTTCATGTATATGGATGCCACAAGATTGTATTGCTGTTTATGTTTGAGGCTGTGAGATAGTAGCCCTGAGATACTCTCTGAGCTGAGTTGTGAGAGAAATTGGGGAGTCTCTGATCCCTGCCAAGCAGCTGCAGGATTGTTTAGGCTTCTACTTCCTCTGTCCTGCCTATTGTGTACTTCATGCTTTCTCGCTTACTGGAATGGATGTGTTTTGAACTACTCTCAGTAAATTGAACCTGTTTTGTAACCAGAAGACTCCAGAGTCCGTGATTTCTACCAAGCTTGTGCAAAACTTCCACTAACGCCAACAGAGAGGACTGTGAGTTTTCAGGGCTGCGTTGAGTGACTTTTCTCCTACTTGAGCCTGTGTCCCTCCTGCTTGCTTTCCCCCAGGACCCCTCCTTCCACCTGAGCCTGGCCTGGGGCCTGGGAGACCTGGCCGAAGCTCTGGGAGGACCCTGCCTGCAAGAGCTCCAGGTAAGCACCCTGCCCTCGGAAGCGGCTTGGAGGCCAACAACAACAACAACCACCACCACCTATAGTCTTGCCCCAAAACAGACTTGGGGTAAACCCTGGAACTGAGTGTGTGCCTTGGAAACAGAGCCAAACAGGACCCTCCCCCCCATTGTTGTGCCTCCTCTTCCTCCTCCTCCTCTTCTTCTTCCTCGGCAAGTGACTCTCCTCTTTCCCCCCAGGAGACGGTGGACGGCTTTGAGGACTCCTCGTCCTTCCTCCGCATCCCCGGGACAGAGGTCCGGTGCAAGTCGGGCAATAAGTTCTTCTCCTTCCCTTTGCGGTAGCGACAACGGCGGCGGCACCAATGCCTTTTCGTTCCCGTGTCATCAATCCTGGATTGACAGGAGGCTTCTGATGATGTTCCCGGCTCCGGCTTGGCTCCGGCTTCCTTTGCAAAGGCTGGCCAGAATCCCGAGGGCGATGCCACATTCGCAGCCCTTTTTGGAGACTCTTGGGATGAGGAAGGGACGGAGGGCAGAGGAAGGAGGGAAGGAAAAAGGAAGGAAAAGAGAGAAAAGGAAAGAGGGAGGGTAGGAAGGGAAGGGGAAGGGAGAGAGGGAGAAAAGGGAAGAAAGGAAAATGAGAGAGGGAGGAGAAGTGAAGGAAGGAAAAAGGAAGGAAGAGAGGGGGGAGAGAGAAAAGGAAGGAGGGAGGGTAGGAAGGGACAGGGAAGGGATGGAGGAAGGAAGGAAGGAAAAAAGAGGGAGAAGAAGTGAAGGAAAGAAGAAGGAAGAGAGAGAAAAGGAAAGAGGGAGGGTAGGAAGGGAAGGGGAAGGGAGGGAGAAAGGAAGGAAAAAGGAGAGGGAGGAGAAGCAAAGGAAGGAGAAAGGAAGGAAGAGAGGGAAGGAGAGAGAAAAGGAAGGGGGGAGGGTAGAAAGGGGAGAGGAAGGGAGGGAGAAAGGGGAAGGAAGGAAAATGAGAGAGAGGAGGAGAAGTGAAGGAAAGAAAGGAAGGAAAGAGAGAAGGAAAGAGAGGAGGAAGGGAAGGAGGGAGAAAGGGAGGAAGGAAGAAAAAGAGAGGGAGGAGAAGCGAAAAAGAAAAAGGAAGGGAGAGGGGAGGGAGAGAGAAAGGGAAGGAGGGAGGAGGAGGGAAGGAAAAGAGGAAGGAGAAAGAAAGAAGGAGAAGAGAGGAAGGAAGAAAGGAAGGGAGAGAAAGGAAAGAGGGAGGGTAGGAAGGGAAGGGGAAGGGAGGGAGAAAAGGGGAAGGAAGGAAGAAAAAGAGGGAGGGAAGCAAAGAAAAGAAAAAGGAAGGGAAGGGGGAGGGAGAGAGAAAGGGAAGGAGGGAGGGTAGGAAGGGAAGGAGAAAGAGGGAAGGAAGGAAAAAGAGAAGGAGAAAGGGGAAGGAAGAAAGGAAGGGAGGAGGGAGGGAGAGAAGGGGAGAGGGAATGGAAGGAAGGAAAGAAAGAAAACATACAGAGGGAAGGATGGAAGAAAAGGGAGAGAAGGAAAAAAGGAAGGGAAAGTAGGAAGGAAGGAAGGAAAGGGAAAGAAAGAAGGAGGGAAGGAAGGAAGAAAGAAAAAGGGAAGGAAAGAAGAAGGAGAGAAGGAAGGAAGCTCTCTCTCTGAATGGGGGGTGGCCAAGTGGACCCTATGGATGCTCTGTGGGGTCCCCCGAGAGAGAAGCCACGGACAGCTTGTTTCTCCCTGATTGCAGGGAATTGCTCTTTTTTATTTTTCCAAAATGGTAAAATGCACAATAAAGCGTTGTTTTTTAATACACGTTGGAGCCAATGCCTCTTGAATGTCCAACTACGCTTCCAACCTCCAGTGGAAACCCTGTTGCAAACCCTGAGCAGACCCCACTGTCTCGGCCTCAGGAAGAGCCAATCGTTCCAATGACAGAGAAGGAGAATATTAAGACCTTCCTGATAGTTCAAATAAGAGCTGTTCAGCAGTGGAACTCTCTGCCTCAGAGTCCGGTGGAGGCTTTTAAGCAGAGGCTGGATGGTCATCTGTTGGGAGGGCTTTGATTGTGTTTTTCCTACCTGGCGGGAAGAAGGGGGTCGGACTGGATGGCCTTTGGGGGTCCCTTCCAACTCTAAAGAGATGCTGGATGGCCATCCGTTGGGTGGGATCGGGCGGTGTCCTTCCTGGGGTTGGACTGGATGGCCCTTGTTAAGATTGGGCCAATGAGGGAATGGCATGGATCGCCCAGGAACAAACACTGTGTTATGGTACGTAGTGAGTCACAGCGAAGCCAATCCAAGTGGGAGCGTGAGTGCACACTCAGCCAGAAGCCGGACCTGTTTGCTCACCTGCGGAAGGACAAAGTCCGGAGCAGATTGGGTATCGAAACCAGGCAAAGGCCGGGCTCTGGCCTCAATGCCATTGAACCCAACTCTTCGGGGAGGCATTTTCGTCCCTCGGGGTTGCCGAATGAGGCACAATCTCATTGTTTATTATTATTATTATTATTATTATTATTATTATTATTATTGTGAGTTGTAGCTTTGAAAGCCAAAAAGGAAATATTAAAAGGTGAATCCCCAAAAAGGAGTCTGTAAGCTTTCAAGCAGAAGCTGGATGGACATCTGTTGGGAAGGATCGGGTTGTGCTTTCCTGCTTCGCAAAAGCGGGCTGCTCTGGATGGTCTTTAGGGACCCTTTCCAAGTCTAGGATTCTAATATTAGAATAATAATAATAATAATAATAATAATAATAATAGGTTGGACTGGATGGCCTCTGGGGTTCCCTTCCAACTCTAGGATTCTAATAGTAGTAGTAGTAGTAGTAGTAGTAGTAATAATAATAATAATAGTAGGCAGGATGGCCATCTGGTGGGAGTGCTTTAGTTGTGTCTTCCATGATGGCAGCAGGGGTCTGGTCTAGATGCCCTCTGGGGTTCCCTTCCAACTCTAGGATTCTAATAATAATAGTAAAAGTAATAATAATAGTAATAATAATAGGCAGGATGGCCATCTGTTAGGAGTGGTTTAGTTGTGCCTGGCTTTATGACAAGGGGGGGCTGGACTGGATGCCCTCTGGGGTTCCATTCCAACTCTAGGATTCTAATAATAATGGTAATAGTAGTAGGAATAATAATAAATAATAATACAAATAATAATAATAGGCAGGATGGCCCTCTGGCGGGAGTGATTTAGTTGTGCCTGGCTTGGTGGCAGAAGGGGGCTGGTCTAGATGCCCTCTGGGGGTCTTTTGCAACACTAGCATTCCAATAATGATAATAATAAGCAGGATGGCCATCTGTCGAGAATGATTTAGTTGTGTATATCTTGATGGCAGAAGGGGGCTGGACTGGATGCCCTCTGGGGTTCCAACTCTAGAACTCTCATAATAACAGTAATAGTAGTAGTAGTAGTAATAATAAATACGCAATATGGCCATCTGTCGGGAGTGGTTTAGTTGTGTCTGCCTTTATGTCAGAAGGGGGCTGGACTGGATGTCCCTTGGGGTTCCCTTCCAACTCTAGGACTCTCATAATAATAGTAAAAGTAATAAATAATAATAATAATAATAATAATAATAATAATAATAATAAAATAATAATAATAATAATAATAATAGGCAGGATGGCCATCTGTCGGGAGTGCTTTAGTTGTGCCTGCCTTTATGTCAGAAGGGGGGCTGGACTAGATGCCCTCTGGGGTTCCCTTCCAACTCTAGGACTCTCATAATAATAGTAAAAGTAATAAATAATAATAATAATAATAATAAATAGAAATAATAATAATAATAATAATAATAGGCAGGATGGCCATCTGTCGGGAGTGCTTTAGTTGTGCCTGCCTTTATGTCAGAAGGGGGGCTGGACTAGATGCCCTCTGGGGTTCCCTTCCAACTCTAGGACTCTCATAATAGTAATAGTGGAAATAATAATAACAATAGGTAGGATGGCCATCTGTTAGGAGGGGTTTAGTTGTGCCTGGCTTGGAGGCAGAAGGGGGGGCTGGTCTAGGTGCCCTCTGGGGGTCTCTTCCAACTCTAGCCTTCCAGTAATGATAACAGCAACAATAGGCAGGGTGGCCATCTGGCGGGAGTGCTTTAGTTGTGCCTGCCTTGATGACAGAAGGGGGGCTGGAGTAGATGCCCTCTGGAGGATCTCTTTCAACTCTAGCATTCCAATAATAAGAAGAACAACAAGCAGGATGGCCATCTATCGGGAGTGCTTTGGTTGTGCCTGGCTTGGATGGCCCATCTGTTGGGAATGATTTAGTTGTGCCTGCCTTGATGGCAGAAGGGGGGCTGGACTGGATGCCCTCTGGGGTTCCCTTCCAACTCTAGGACTCTCATAATAACTAATAGTAATAGTAATAGTAGGAAGAGGAAGAAGAAGAAGAAGAAGAAGAAGCAGCAGCAGCAGGATGG